TGCTTCTGTTGGAGTAAGCTTGGCCAGCTTGCGACCGCCGCTCAAGGCGCACGTGCGAGGAGGGCTGGCGGGATAGTAGGAGGGCGTCAAAGTTGCCGTCTGGCTCCGATTATAGGCCTCTTTCCTGCCGCTCGCTGTGGCTTTGATCAGGGCTCAGCGTAACGGGATCTGGGAGGGAGGCGCTGCTCCACAGTTACACCCGTAACCGAATCGCAGACTGCCGTTGATGCACACTCTCTAAAGTCACGACCTTGGGCATCCATCAGCAACGCGCTACCCGGGGACTCCGCGCGGAGGAGGAAATGCCTCCCTCTCGAAACTGGCGCCAGGCAGAACCGAGATGAGGGACCTCGTGCCGCGAGAATCCTCCCAGTTATGGGGCGAGGGGTGTCCACAGGTCAATTGCCCTGGTGCGTTAATCCTCGAGCAGCTCTCAATCAAATCATCGTGGCTGGAGTCGTCCAAAGGCGATGATGTGAATCGATGCGTGTGCTGTTATGACCTCGAGATTATTACCATACAGGATGCAACTCGAGCTGTAAATACGTACGATGCTGAACTTCTTTTGCACCGTCACGTAACCAAACCCGTGCCAATCGGGGGTGCGGAGCTTCCATCACTGCACCAAAATTCAATCAATTGTCAATTAGGTATAGTCGTTTTATTTTGGTGCAGGTGGAAGTCAATTGATTGAAGCAACAGCTGGACCTCAAGAAATATAAAACGGTTTTCGAAGCATTTCCCTAAACTTTGGGATGGTGTAATTGCGCAACACTTATCCAATTTGGGACTACCCTGGTTTGTAATGTAAAATAAAGTATAGCAGCTAAAGAGAGCTTAAAAATACAATTAACTTACCTTGGGTAGCTCGCTCAAGGAGGAGCTATCGGGATGTGATTGATAACAGCGCCATAAAGAGATTGGCGACTGTGACCTCCCAAACGTTTGTGTCCTCCATTCCTCACATCTGCCTATTGAAGAGATGTGAATGATGTGGGGGATAACTACGCTGATGGAAGTTCTGTTAAACTGTGTTGTCAGAGTCAGAATTTGTATTTATCCGGGAGAAATTCGATGAGTTATGAAGCTCCTTTTCACAAATGTCTAGTTTAGGCGGGTATCTGTGTAGTGGGTCCGTAAAGGAAAACATGGCAAATATTTGTCAGCGTGTGTGTGTCTTTGTGTGCGCACTGGGAAGACAATTCAAAGATCCCCCGTAGAGCCTTTAACAGACTGTTGGGGCCTTCGTAAGTGCTTGCTAACAGCACTTGCTCCAAAAGTCTGTTAAGGCTATATGGGGATCTTAGTCTTTGCACTGGGTAGAAAGGAACGGAAGGGAGTAGTGTGGCAGATGGAGGGCTCAATTTTTCACTGAATATTGTCCAGGCCACGGGCAGGCTGGAGCAGACAACTGACCGGTAGCCACAGCTCTAGCAACAGTTACCCCGAGGCAGATTACTACACTGCAGGATACGCCTTCATCCAGCAGTGGAGTGATCATGGCTGTGGTGATGATCATGATGAAAGTGGATGTGGCGTGCCGGCCGCGGAAATATTTTCACATTTGCCAACGCAGGCGAACCAGGTTAAAATTAAGCCCTGGGTAGCAGTCACTGCACTGTGCTACTACCATCACATGGACCTGGGTTCAAACCCCGGTGATGTACATCACTGCAGAGTGAAATATAAGCCCTGCCCTTAACCTCCTCAATGTGAACTGAGCCTTAAACGAACACCTGATGCGATTGGTCAGCATTAGCACTGGGGAGACAAGGGCAGCTGGGTGGTTCTGGCTTTAATAGGTTCACCAATGGCACTTGCCTCTGTGGTCTATACGGATAAATAGGGGATCATTTTATTTCAGTGCGAACACACACGTATATTGTACGGATGCTGCCATGGCGTACGGGTAAGCACGCTGAACTTGGAATGCAGGGGTCGCCGGTTCAATCTCCTGGTGCGATAGTTGAAAAAATTGGTCATGTTTATTTAATCCCCCTGCAATTTGCCAACCCAGCAGTATAAATGGGTTTCACCACAGTCGCTCAATTGGCTGGTCGCGTGCAGTGGAGTGACATGTGGGTTCTCCCACCTCTTCCAAGACATCTGGCCGGCATGGACAACTCAGGCCAAATACCTTCTAGAGGGACTCTCTGAATCATCCAGTGGAGGCCTTTCTCTGATCAGTGGTGTGAACATGGAACGACGACAGGGCTGCACCTCCAGAATCAGAATCTTGATTTAGGCTGGAGGAATCCGATGAGCTATGAAGCTATTTTTCACCGATGTCCAGTAGGGGTGGGTCAGCAAATTACAACAGCAAACAAAACAAAAAACGATAGGAGTGCAAAGCATAGTAAAGGTAAGCAAGTCACAAAAAAATGAAAAAATACAACCTTTCCCTTTAACCCAGATAGTTTACGTACAGTGAGGGAAAAAAGTATTTGATCACCTGCTGATTTTGTACGTTTGCACACTGACAAAGAAATGATCAGTCTATAATTTTAATGGTAGGTTTATTTGAACAGTGAGAGACAGAATAACAACAAAACAATCCAGAAAAACGCATGTCAAAAATGTTATAAATTGATTTGCATTTTAATGAGGGAAATAAGTACTTGACCCCTCTGCAAAACATGACTTAGTACTTGGTGGCAAAACCCTTGTTGGCAATCACAGAGGTCAGACGTTTCTTGTAGTTGGCCACCAGGTTTGCACACATCTCAGGAGGGATTGTGTCCCACTCCTCTTTGCAGATCTTCTCCAAGTCATTAAGGTTTCGAGGCTGACGTTTGACAACTCGAACCTTCAGCTCCCTCCACAGATTTTCTATGGGATTAAGGTCTGGAGACTGGCTAGGCCACTCCAGGACCTTAATGTGCTTCTTCTTGAGCCACTCCTTTGTTGCCTTGGCCATGTGTTTTGGGTCATTGTCATGCTGGAATACCCATCCACGACCCATTTTCAATGCCCTGGCTGAGGGAAGGAGGTTCTCACCCAAGATTTGACGATACATGGCCCCGTCCATCGTCCCTTTGATGCGGTGAAGTTGTCCTGTCCCCTAAGCAGAAAAACACCCCCAAAGCATAATGTTTCCACCTCCATGTTTGACGGTGGGGATGGTGTTCTTGGTGTCATAGGCAGCATTCCTCCTCCTCAAAAACACGGCGAGTTGAGTTTATGCCAAAGAGCTCCATTTTGGTCTCATCTGACCACAACACTTTCACCCAGTTGTCCTTTGAATCATTCAGATGTTCATTGGCAAACTTCAGACAAGCATGTATATGTGCTTTCTTGAGCAGGGGGACCTTACGGGCACTGCAGGATTTCAGTCCTTCACGGCATAGTGTGTTACCAATTGTTTTCTTGGTGACTATGGTCCCAGCTGCCTTGAGATCATTGACAAGATCCTCCCGTGTAGTTCTGGGCTGATTCCTCACCGTTCTCATGATCATTGCAACTCCACGAGGTACAATCTTGCATGGAGCCCCAGGCCGAGGGAGATTGACAGTTCTTTTGTGTTTCTTCCATTTGCGAATAATCGCACCAACTGTTGTCACCTTCTCACCAAGCTGCTTGGCAATGGTCTTGTAGCTTGTAGCCTATTCCAGCCTTGTGTAGGTCTACAATCTTGTCCCTGACATCCTTGGAGAACTCTTTGGTCTTGGCCATGGTGGAGAGTTTGGAATCTGATTGATTGATTGCTTCTGTGGACAGGTGTCTTTTATACAGGTAACAAGCTGAGATTAGGAGCACTCCCTTTAAGAGTGTGCTCCTAATCTCAGCTCGTTACCTGTATAAAAGACACCTGGGAGCCAGAAATCTTTCTGATTGAGAGGGGGTCAAATACTTATTTCCCTCATTAAAATGCAAATCAATTTATAACATTTTCGACATGCGTTTTTCTGGATTTTTGTTGTTGTTATTCTGTCTCTCACTGTTCAAATGAACCTACCATTAAAATTATAGACTGATCACTTCTTTGTCAGTCGGCAAACGTACAAAATCAGCAGGGGATCAGGACAACTTCACCGCATCAAAGGGACGATGGACGGGGCCATGTACCGTCAAATCTTGGGTGAGAACCTCCTTCCCTCAGCCAGGGCATTGAAAATGGGTCGTGGATGGGTATTCCAGCATGACAATGACCCAAAACACATGGCCAAGGCAACAAAGGAGTGGCTCAAGAAGAAGCACATTAAGGTCCTGGAGTGGCCTAGCCAGTCTCCAGACCTTAATCCCATAGAAAATATGCGGAGGGAGCTGAAGGTTCGAGTTGCCAAACATCAGCCTCGAAACCTTAATGACTTGGAGAAGATCTGCAAAGAGGAGTGGGACAAAATCCCTCCTGAGATGTGTGCAAACCTGGTGGCCAACTACAAGAAACGTCTGACCTCTGTGATTGCCAACAAGGGTTTTGCCACCAAGTACTAAGTCATGTTTTGCAGAGGGGTCAAGTACTTATTTCCCTCATTAAAATGCAAATCAATTTATAACATTTTTGACATGCGTTTTTCTGGATTGTTTTGTTGTTATTCTGTCTCTCACTGTTCAAATAAACCTACCATTAAAATTATAGACTGATCATTTCTTTGTCAGTGGGCAAACGTACAAAATCAGCAGGTGATCAAATACTTTTTTCCCTCACTGTATGTCATAATGTGCATATGTGCACGTGTGTGCGGGAGTGTAGCGGTGAGCGTGCTGTGCTATGAACCCGGCGACCCGAGTTCGATTCCCGCTCGCGGCCAATACCAGTGACGATTATCTGAACCAGTCCTGGGCCTCCCATAGGTCAACTCAGCCTCAAATGAGTACCTGGCGTGGTGTGTAAACATTTGCCACTAGGGAGACAAAGGCAGCCGGGTGTGGTGCTGGCCACCCAAACACTCGTGTGCCATTCTGGCCTTCATAGGTGCTCGTCAACAGTCTGTTAAGGCAATACGGGGGATCTTTGTCTTTGTGTGTGCGTATGTGCACGTGCACGTGTGTGTGTATACCTGTGAGCAAAGCAGCATCACGAGCTCTACCACCGACGTGCTGGACTTCATGCACACCAGACCTGGAGCGAATCAAAACACACACACACACACACACGTGTCAGGGGCAGCATAAACACCAACACCAACTACCAACTGCACATATATGACACCATTGCTTTATTAGCCGAAGCCAGATGAAGCCAGGCATCACACGGACCTTGGTGATGCTGCACTGTGGCACAGAGGGAAGGGTCAGTCACTGCCAGGGTCAGAATTACGAGTAGTGATTTCCCTAACATGTAATGTATGTTCTTGATGTGTACATAGATAGCAAAACGTTTGAAATTGCACACGCAACAAGTCGCGCCAATGTAGCGTTAAGCCTATAAAAAAAGACAAGTTACGTCAAATTAAATTGAAAAGCATCAGAATATAAGCATACGAAAACAACTGTTACAACAAGGAAGTCGATGTTTGAAAGTCAAAACTCATAGATCTACCAGCTCAATCAGGGCATTGGGGGATGTGCTCATATACGTTTGCGGCCTTGAGTCAGTGGTGAAAATTCCCCATTCCAATGGTAGGGACCAGTTTATCCAATGGACACGTGACACTGACAAAGGGTACACATATACAGTACGCGCACACGCTATCTCTCGACATCAAAATGACCTACAGTAGCCAACCCTCATGAATCAGTGGTCTATACAAGGCCACTGGCGACAAAAGGCACGGGCGGCAGGAGACAGACATCAGGGCGAGCCAGGCTCCTTTCAAAGCATCCGTATCAGCTATCGGCTTCCACACGCGCACCCACAATCCAATATTCTGTCCCATTAGAAAGCACTCACGTATTGATTTTTTTCTCTCTTGCAAAGAAGCTGCATTATTGATGTGAAAAAAAGCACAGCCTGTGCAGCTGTTGAGAGTCCACAAGGTATTGCATTGCGACTAAATGATATCATCATCGTCATCATACTCCAGTGTGGTTTACATCGTGCTGTTCACGTTGCATTAAACAATTAATGCACACTGCTGCTGATCTCAACAGCTTCGGGGACAAAAAAAAAAATCCAATGACAAGTTGTTTATTTGAAGGCTCGTCAGCTAAAGAGTATTCATACACAAACATTTTCGCTTAACTTTACAGTTAGATACATAATGGAATAAAACATTACATGTCTGGACCGAAAGGAGGTGTAACAGTGACTCGTACGCATACGCTACAATGTTGACTATTGTGTTAGCTAAGTATGCAACTTGATGAATGCTTGCGTCTACTCTACGCATAAAATATACCGCTGAGCCTTTTTCACCCCTATTAATGTAATGATTGCAGATAGCATGAACGGCTGAGTCGTGTACCTGTACAGAATAGAGAATCTCCTTGCTCAAACAAGCAATAGGATGGCACTCGATTTCATTGGTGGTCCGAAGTCAGTGGAGAATATTCCACATTCTGATGGCAGGGCTAGCCTATCAAAGTAGGGTATAACCACTCGTGACTTCCTGATTTTATTCACCACAGCAGGATGTTGGCCGAGTTGACTCCCAACTGGGACTTGAACTCTGAACTCTGATTGGATAGGTGATGTTTCCTTCTTTGCCTGGCACTCCCGTCGCTCGTCTCAACCACTGGCCATCAACCCTTCGAGTGACATGTCCTGCCCAAGCCCACTTTAACTTGCATATGTTTTTTTAATTTACACGTTCCCTTTGCCGTCAATGCAATTAATTGCTGTCAATGTAATGTTTCTCGCCATTGTGCCGCGATGGTCAGATGTTAACTACCTTGCCTGGTATACACGAGGTCGTGGGATCCATCCCGCCCCTAACGCCTGCTGTATATTTGGAGTTTGTATGTTTTCCCCGTGGTCGTGTGGATTTTTCTCCGCGTCCTCTGGTTTTCCCTCCACATTTAGAAACATGTGTTTAGAGTATTTGTCTGCTATACATTCACACGTGATAAGCCACTTCGTTGAGCTATCATTTGTGGCCAGGCTCACTTCTGAAAAAGAGATATATAGCTCAGTGGGCCTTACCTGGTAAAATAAAAAAAATAGTTTTAAAGTTTAATTCCCAACATGCCCCTCGCTCTGGTCCTTTGTGCATGTTTAGATTGTCGTAGCAAGTAACATTCAATCTCAGATGTGTTCATGGCACACGGTAGTCTGGAACTCCCTTCACCTTCCTGGCCATACGCACTGCAGACTCACTCCCCATAATCATGTTCAGCCTCAAGACTTTCCTCCCTTCGCCTGCTGCTCGTATGAATTGTCAGCATTCAACTCCCCTTTATCTCCTTACCCTATTCTGCCCTGGCTTCCCTTAAGCTCACTTCCTCCCCTCTGATAATAACCGCTAAAATAATTCCTCCCCCTCCATTTCCAGACTCCCCTTGTTTCTGCAGTGTCTGGAGACCCAGGTACATTCATCATCATCATCATCGCTTGTCATCATCATCATCATGTCTGGTCCATTCACTGCTCAGTGAAGGTCTTCCCAAGCCACTGCCATCGCTCGTGATAATGCAAAGTGTACACACTCTATAATGGCACATTGCATAGTGGACAAATATACGGTGTGGTGCTATGTTGTAATTTGACTACTTTATATCAGCCGAGATTGTGAAATAAACTATTGGGGTAACATAAACAAAAATCACAGGGAGATCCATTTACAGATACCCCGTTGTTTCCTAATAAGCCGAATACGTTGATAGCAACACACAACAAGGGCTGGCTATTTTGTACAAAGCTTATCAGAACAATGGTAAAATATTGAATACGTGTCGTGGGATTGGTGGGAGACATGCAAGAGGCTTCACATTCCAATATTGTTTTCTCTGTAATTATCTCCGTATTATTTTGGTGGGGTATCTGCAAACGGATCGCTTTCCATCGTTTCCCGGGATGTGTGCCAACACTGCCGCCTGCTGTTGGACACCAACGCGGGAGACATTTCCTGCGCCTGTGGACGCCTTCACAACAAATGGATCACACGGCGTCATGCGAGCGTCTATCGCGGGCAGGAGGCAAGTGGCTATGAATATTTCAAGATGATGCATAAAGGCCGATCAGCCCTTCGCTTGCAAAGATAATCCAAGGCTGGTGGCACTACGTGTTCAGTGATTGTAAACATACAGGCTAGGCTATACACACACAGGCGTCGCAAATGTACACATCCCCTTGTATGTCTTGAGTGGACTTTTGGAGCAAGTGCTGTTAAGTGTCAAGTCAGAATCATAGTCAGAATATTTATTTATACTGGAGGAATCCGATGAGCTATAAAGCTATTTTTCCACAGATGTGTAGTTTGGGCGGGTAAGATCGTTACAACACCGAACAGTACAAACACACGATAGTAGTGCAAAGTACAGGAATGGTAAACAAATCACCCAAACACAAACAAATACAACACTAAACCCTCGCCCTCCTTGACTTAAAGCTTTCGTGACTGCAGATTTCATATTCTTTGGGTCTTTCGGTAAATTTCGATTTAAAGCTTTCGTGACTGCAGGGATTCATATTCTTGGTTCTTTCGGTAAAGTCACGTAGAAGGGAAATAATCAAAATAAAAAAAAATATCACGACGTTTCGGCCACAATGCAAGCAGCCGTCCTCAGGTGAAGAACAGAGCTGTCGGAAAGACAGCGTCCTAATGAACACTGCTAAGCTTGGCAGCGTATTTTAAGCTGGGTGGGAGGAGGAGAGCGTCTTGACAAAGCAGTTTACATATCAACAGAGGAATTTAGCATATTCGGTAAAGTCACGTAGAACAAAATTTGTAAGAAAAAATTTGTTCTCCATTACTTTACCGAAAGACCCAAAGAATATGATCCCCATCCTAACAGGGAAACCCCCACCGAGGTATGAACTTACTTTTCAGAAGTCGACAAAGCTACAAATGATAGCTCAACAAAGTGGCCCATCATTTGGACATTTATAGCAACACAATGATCGAAATAAACAAGCAATGGGCCTTCCAGAACAATAATTGAAGGTGACAAAAAAGCCTCTTTGCCCGTTGTAAAAACCAACGTTTTGGAACAACCACCTTGTTTCCTCCCTCAACACTGTAAATCTTCCTTCAAAAATATATCCTGAAGCGAAACATTTCCGCTGGGTACAACCATAATTGAAAATGTGATTTGTAACTTCAATCCTTACCACCCGTGTATACAGTAGTTAAATTTTAATGCGCAATTCTATGCGCGACTACTGCGTGTTGTCTTGGTGTGGTCTGGGATTGTTTTTGCTGCCTTGCCCAAGCTTGCATTTAATGTTGAAAAATTGGCAGGAATGTATCTACGTATGCAATTAGTACATATATGCTTATTCTTTTTTAGTGACTTGCTTGCATATTACAAAAAACTACGACGTTTTGATCGCAACACAAGCGGTCGTCATCCTGACGAAACGTCGTAGTTTTTTGTAATCTTTTTTTAACCTATCTACGTGACTTTACCGAAATACCCAATAAATATGAATTCCTGCATTCATGAAAGCTTTAAGTCAAGATTTTACTTGCTTGCATTTTCTCGATTTTGCACTCGTATCGATTTTGTAATTCTTCTTTGGTTCTTTCGGTAAAGTCACGTAGAATGAGAATAAAATAATAAATCGATAAAATAAAATAACACAATAATATTCTCACGACGTTTCGGCCACAACACAAGCGGCCTTCATCAGGTGAAGGGGCGAGACTGTCTGGTAGGACAGCGCTGTCCTACCAGCGTCGTGAGACGGAACGTCTCACGACGTTTCGGCCACAACACAAGCGGCCTTCATCAGGTGAAGGGGCGAGACTGTCTGGTAGGACAGCGCTGTCCTACCAGACAGTCTCGCCCCTTCACCTGATGAAGGCCGCTTGTGTTGTGGCCGAAACGTCGTGAGAATATTATTGTGTTATTTTATTTTATCAATTTATTATTTTATTCTCATTCTACGTGACTTTACCGAAAGAACCAAAGAAGATGAATCATTGCAGTCACGAAAGCTTTAAATCGAAAGATTTTGTAATTGTTTGTTGATGTAACTTGATGACTCCCACCCCTACTAGACTATGTGAAAACGAGCTTTTTAGCTCATCGTATTCCTCCAGGATAACTCAAGACTCTGATTCTGACCTCCACCAGAGTCTGTGAGCGAGCGGAGGTAACTCCACATTCATATGGTGGAGGCCAGTGTTTGCACAGCTAAAGTGGTATGTAGTTAAATTATGCAAAAAGGGTAAGGGGCTGCCTTTACCACAGCCTACAATTTGAAGTCTCAACCTCGCTATTGTGAGTCGAGCGCTACCACTGTCAGTGAGCACCTATTCATCATCATCACGATCCATGGGCAGATAGCCCGTCGGTGTCCACTGCACATTTCGTTATTTGTTTCCACTTTCCTATATGCTCAAGAAGAGCACCTACCATAAGTGAGTGGGAAGTTACGGTCAATGCCACGTTCAGCACCTGTTTCACCCCAATTGCTGATGTAGACAAACAACACAAGTTATGCATTTTAGGCTGAGTCAACCTACGGAATGCCAAGGTCAGGTCCAAGTACAAACGGTCATTGCTTTTTTTAGGCTTGAAATTGAATCTGAAGTATTGGTATCATAGTGCTGAGCACTGGCTACTCTTCCACACTACAAAGAGCAATGCAAATCAACATGTACACGCACACGTAAACATATGAAGAAACACTGAATATACAACACTTTATATTTAAGGTAAATCGTATTATTACATGAAAATAGCAGTCGGATGCTGCAAGTTCAAATGCTTGCCAGAGATCGACGGAGTCTCTCCGAGAGGTGCTTATTCATTCCCTATAACCACATCCAGATTCTGAAAGATACTGAGAGCTGAGTCTGCTGAGTACTTAGATGGGAGGTATTGTAGGCTTAGACTGCAAGATGGCCATATATATGGCTTTCTTCTGAGTACGCTGATTTCCTCCCACAAGCCAAAGACTCCTGAATGGAAATTGGCTAAACACTGCAATGGAAAAGTCTCCTAAAAGAGTCTTAAAACCCATTGGGACTCTAGAGGAGATGTAAAAGGCACTACTATTATAGGTGACATTTCCTGTAGACTTCACTGTCTGCACTCTTGCCAGGTGGCATTATCTGTCCAGGTGGTACAATGGTAGAGTAGCTTACTCAGAATTGTTAGGGCATAAGGTCAAATCACGTTTGGGAGTCCATTCAGACTACCATCCCTCTGGGATTGATACAATGAATGACACATTTAAAGTCAATAGTGGTAATCCTATGCAGAAAATTACCACTGCCAGAGTCATATGACGTTTCCCCAAGAACCCAGGGCTGCCAACAGAGATGCTCACTGCCTCTTTGCTCATATAAAGCAGGGAGATGCCACATTTACATTTTCATGAAGTCAGATCTATTCATGCACGAACGCAATTTTCAGTCATGAGAAACGCGTAGAGGGCGCCGACGACAAATAACAAGGCCCGCTTATCTTACTTCTAAAGTTGTTGTCCGTGACGCAATCGAGACATCTCAAAGCGAAACGTGCGAATAATTTGTCAATTATCCGCGTTTTGCAACATGTTTGCACACGGACAACTTGTTAACATTTACGAGGAGCTTTTGTTACAGTGGCCAGCGTGCAATACTTCATCACAATTGCTTACAGCATTGCCATGCAGTACCCATGAGGCCAGTGAAGATGATTGCACTCAAGATAAGGTGTGTGCGTGCATTCTAATGAATATATTACAGTATCAGTGCAGGAACAAAGGACATGATTTAGTACAGACGCTCCCGTGGGCAATATTGCCATGCAATTACATTCTGAGAATCCTTTAATAAATCCTTCATGTGCAATTCGACATCCACTGAGGACAATAATATGTTGCTTGCATACAAAATATAACTGTTACTCGTTGCCTAAGCATCTGAAAATATGCAAAAAAATACTCAAACAACGGGCTTTACACATTGTGTACTCACTCCAGTGTGATTGCACGAGGAAGCTAGCCTATTTCTGGTTTTACAAATGCTTTCAGAATACATATGTTTGTATGCACCTTATAATGTGTCTGGCTGGGTCGAGTTAGGGCTCGAGCACTTGACTCACAGCCAGAAAGTAGAAGTCTGGAGTGACCCAGTCATCCGTCTTGGGTAGCTAAAACAGGGGACCACTTTGTGGCATGCCATTTCGGTTGTCCTAAGAAGAGGCGGGTCCCTCCTATGAGTGTGCGGAATTTTCACCACTTGGCTCACAGCTATCAAATGTGATGCATTTGGAGATGCTTTATCTTATTCAATACATATAGATGATTTTACCCACCAAACAAATTCCAGCTGTGCTATTGGTATCATGTAATCAGACGAAATAAAATTTGAGCTCAATTGATCACCCCATGTTGCAGGACAATCGCTTGAAGATCACGTCATTACAGAACTACTTCTGAGGTTTCTTGAATTGCTTCTTAGGCGCCCCACTGTAAAGGATGAAAAACTGTAAATTGTCTCGATTCTCATGACTGTAAAATTCCAAATTAAGCAAAAAGCTAAACGAGCATATTTTACAGAGTCAATTGTAATTAAGAGGAGACCATCAACTCACCGCACTTAAGAACCCAGTTTAATTACGGGTGGCTGAGACACGTATTAAAACCTAGAACCTCACGAGCGTCGGCTTAGTGCCGCAAAGCATCATCAGCCCATGGGCCACCTCGCCGGATCCCACACTTTGCCCTTTTCGGTGCTCGTGGCGGTGTCGACAAGGATGGCGGCGAGGGTGCTGTGGGAATGGTGACGCTGCGGCTGCCTGTTTGAATTGTGCGGAGCAGTAACTTTGGCCTATATGGAATGGAGGAAGATAGCGCTTGGATTCTGCACCTTCAATGAGCAGCTCCTGGCCATGGCTGCCCAGTAACGTGCGCGACAAAAATTGGGCGAAGTCCACGAAGATCTCACGCAGCAGAGGAGCCACCTTCTCCAGCGCACGCTCCAGCTTAGTCGTGATGCTGTAAACAAAAACGGTCGCAAAGCAGACCAAAATCACCACGTATATACCTCCACTCAAATGTATATATACACACAACAATCGAGTCATTCGTGTCTCCCTGTCAAAATGAGCATTTTAGGGATGTCAGTCCAGGGGCAACAGTAGAAATTCCACATTCCTATGGAATGGGCCAGTATCCTCATGGGATAACCACTGTTGAATATCCACAATGCGGTTTTCTTTTTTATTTTGCGCCACAGAGGTGTGTCGATCCCCAACTCGAATTTGGAATCGAAAATGTTCCATTATTAGTTAAGTTCCAACCACAATGCCACTTTGACTCGGACTCGACCATAATGATCCGACCGCTATTTTACGAATACCATCATCTTGTTACGCGTTGGAGCAGTGGTGGGCGACCTGCGGCGCCTCTCACGGTGGCCTGGTCGAAGTGCATCTTGGGTGACGTGTGGGGGTCATGGTTAGTGGAAGAGCGCGATGTCAAGCTTGCAGCCCACTGAGGTTAAGATGGGCCGCTCGTACGGCTCACCGACTCGTCTGGGTTGCCCATCGCTGTTTCACTGCCTGGCTTAATAAAGAGTGGGGTATACCAGGATTCGAACAAAGGTTTTCAAGGAAGCCGATTCAGTCCTCTTACATGGGCATTGGCTTTCTGAGCCACCCACCATCTCTGCAGTGCATGGTTCTCAGGTGTGCGAGAGATGGACAGCTGATTTATCACATGGGGTCAACATTTAAATCCTAAGGCCCGTAATTATTCTGGGGAAACTCTAGGGCACCCATTACCGGCCACTTGTTACCGACATTTATTATGATAAACTATGGTGTGGCAATGGAATCTAATAGCCGAGTTCTGTCTCACCAATGAAAAATCTTTAATTGACAAGTTTGCGCATTTGAAATACGTTTGGCCTACAGATAATGTATGTATTGTCCTTGAAACTGAATGGCCCACACCAGAGACAGCTTTCTTTTGAGCCTCGTCTCAAACGGTGTTAGACCAGAGGACGCCAAAAGGCGTACGAGGCTCAAAAGAAAGCTGTCTCTGGTGTGGACCAATCAGTTTCAAGGACAATGTATATATTATATTATTGGTTCTTTCGGTAAAGTCACGTTGAAGGGAAACAATAAAATAATAAAACATATATAAAACAATAAAATTCTCACGACGTTTCGACTGCAACACAAGCAGTCATCATCAGGTGTGAAACGTCGTGAGAATTTTATTGTTTTATATATATTTTATTATTTTATTGTTTCCCTTCAACGTGACTTTACCGAAAGAACCAAGAATATGAATCACGGTAGTCACGAAAGCTTTAAATCAAAATTTAATGCATATATTATCAGAGTATGTTTTTTGTTTGCATTCTGACTAGAAGCACTGCGGTTAATGCAGACATGATTCCTTGTAAAAGGTTTCAGTTTGGTGTTTTAACATCCTAACACCTGTTTTGTTGCCAGAAAAAAGGAGAAAAACCTATTATCATTGTCAACGTGCTTTGAAATAATTATAAATGGTACATTAGTATTGGCTGATGGGGGAAAAGGGATGGGGTTTGAGTGTTTGGAAAGGGAAGGGATGACAAGGAAGGGTGATGATATGGAAAGGGAGGGGCGAGGTTATGAAGGGAAAGGGGGAGGATGGTGAAGGTTTTAAAGACGAGGTGAGGAAGTAGTAGAGGGAAAAATGGTGAGTGAAGTCGCCTGGTCGACGTGGAGTGGGAGTTTATTCCAATGGAGGGGAGCCAGGAGGGAACAGGCGCAGAAACGTGACTGAGCACAGGGAGGGGGGGGACATAGCGAGGGATAATAGTGATTGTGAACGCAGGGACCGAGTTGGGGCAGAACCGTGGAGCGATTTGTACAGTTGGCCACTCTTGGTAGCAGCAATCAGTTTTGTCCAGATTCGGGCAACTGCAGAATGCTATTTCCATCCCCCCCTCCCCCCCCCCAATCGAAAATGGGGTGGCAACTCTAAACCAGCAACGACCGCCGGTGACGACGTCTCTAAAACCGCCTGAGACATTCGTGGGGCTTTTGCGCTTGGCCAGAGAGGCAGACAGCAGACGGCCGGCAGCTTGGAGCAGCAACCTGGTGTTTTCCATGGAGTCTTCTGGGAGCGGCGCCACCGTCTGCACCGCGGGCAGGTTCCGACTCGTCGCTCCGTTCACAAAGCTGGAGCTGGGCGGAGCTGGGGCTGGGGCCACCTCCCCTGCAAGAGACCCAACGCGCGATCGCTCGAGTCGTGTGTCCCCACCGTCCGCGAGCGTTGCGATGCAGCACTGTGCCCTAGGCAAGGACGGTCGGCTTCCAATGACGAGCATATTTCTCCCCCCGTCAACGAGTCACACAGAAAGTGTGTATGTCTGCACGTTGAACTTCTTTCGCACCGTACCTAGCCAACCGTGCTAATCGAATGGGCCGAGTCTCGTTGCAACACGGAAGGTAATCGTGTTTGAGCCTGAAGACAACTCACATGGGTAGGCCACCGTGCATAATGGGTGTTATAGGCTGTGGGTCTACTTGGCGAGCAGCAGAAGGAAGTGCAGAACAATTCAACGTTGTACTGTACTTCTAATTGCTCGCATTGAAAAGGGGCTGTAGATTTACAAGCATATTTATTGTCCGCACGGGTGACATCTCTCGGTTAGAGAACTAGAATCACAATTGCCAAGGCAGTATCGCAAAATTATGTTAGTATCACAATTGAAAAGTTGGGGTCAAAAGAGCCCACCACCATCGACCTGGGGTCAATAACGTCGGTACCAGTTTGTATGACATCAATTCTGTAGTGGTTAATCCCAATGGATTGGCTGTTCTCTACCACAGGCACGTGGAATTCCTGCCACAAGCTCTGATCTGCCAATCGAGATGGGGACTGCTCCACACACATTTCAGCATGGAGACACTTGATTTGTTAGAACTTTTGTATTTTGGGGAAAATGAATGTGACATTGTTTTTGCTATCTTATATACAGTATATATAAAGAGATATCCCGTGCAGCAGTGCAGACTCAACGTAAAAGTATACGTTTTTGCTCTACATCAACATCATAAGAAGAAGTGCAGATGTTGAGACAAGTGCTCTTAAGTGGACACCTATAATGGCTCATCCATATCCAACTTTATCTCCCTAGTGCAACACATTATAAGCAGCTTGGTGCTCGATTCTTGTAATTAATTCGCACGTTCATGGCTTTCGGTTAATGTGTAATGTACCACAACTAGGTCAGCTCCCTTAATCATTTATCAGCCTTGGGGATGTGGTGTGTGTGTGAGACTGAATGTGCATGTTATTTATCTTCATCTTGTATTTATTCAGACATTCGGACTTATGAGACAGAACATTACCGTCGTGATCCGCGCTGATGAATTACTGTGCAGCCCCGAGTGCCCATTTTCCTCTTTAGGATGGTCACGTCGTCCATTGCAGGTGATTTGTGATACCAAAATTCAGGGACGTGCGATGATGACGACGACGATGATGATGATTAAACACTAGGGTATATTCGCGAGCAAAGTCGCAATGCGTGATGGCACACACGTGCAAACCTGGCGGTTTGGAGAAGCGGGATTGAGATATTTCCCATTCCTGTTTAACACGTAGGCTTTTGCGACCAAAATTACTCATCAGAAACATTACTTTTTTTGTGGGTTAGATCGCGTTAATATAATTGGCTGTTTCGGGTGGTGGTGGTGGTGGGTTAATGACACGTTAATATTCCCCATCCTGCTGAGTTACTCGGCAATTGACGATGGCAGTACAGCAAATGGGTTCTTAAACAATGTGTGTAGATTTGTATTATTCACTCATATGTCTGGGTTTTCGATTTAAAGCTTTCGTGACTGCAAGGATTCATCTTCTTTGGTTCTTTCGGTAAAGTCACGTAGAATGAGAATAAAATAATAAATTGATAAAATAAAATAACACAATAATATTCTCACGACGTTTCGGCCACAACACAAGCGGCCTTCATCAGGTGAAGGGACGAGACTGTCTGGAGGACAGCACTGTTATTTTATTTGATCAATTTATAATTTTATTCTCATTCTACGTGACTTTACCGAAAGAACCAAAGAAGATGTCTGGGTTTGTTTTCCCCAGCTCGCCCGGTTTCCTCCAGCATGCACTCAAATAAAATACATTTGCAAAACATCCAAGTTAAGGGCTCTATACTTCAAATTTCGTGAGACCCAGTGGGGATTCCTTGAATAAAGAGCTCTAATATGTTTGTTTCATCTTAAAGCCAAAGTCGAGGAGTAATTCGTTACAAGAAGTAATGCATTATGGTAATCAGACTAACAAAGTCGAGTGTCGCTAATATTGTACATTAGTGTTCAGCTTGCAATTAGATTATCATTATATACAATGCACTGTTTGATTACTCTCATGTTGTACTTGAAAACAATACCTTCAATTTAAATGGAGATATGGACATTAATGGATTGTACGAATGCATATCAGCAAAGCCGACAATCACAATAGTGTTCTTATTTTCAAGGTCACATCCATATGAAATGTACATTTTAAGGAAATATTTACAGTAATCACAACGTGATTCATTAATGATGCAATTTATCTGAATGTGATTACGTATTTACATTATTACTTTTAAAATGTAAAATGGAGAATTATGCGACATTAATTATTTACCCTCAAGTCATCAAAGTACACTTCAAGGATGGTAAAAAAAAATTCATGGCAGAGTCGGGTAAACGACTTGGAAGTATGGAACATGATGTGGCTCGAAAACAAAAATCCGTAACCAAATATTCTAAACCTAATTTACGACGATGCCTTTCATCATCACGATCATCGTTTAATATTTATACCGCGCCTGCCATAGGCGGGCAACACAGCACTTGAAAGGTAAGCAAACTAACACGAAGATAAATAACTCAAGTTCAAATGATGCATCGGGTGAAGAGTCAAGCACTGCAGCGGCACTGAGATTTCAGTGACCAGGGGGAAGGAACCCCTGGAACTGGACAGCGGGAACATGTAATCGCCTAGTTAGGAGGTTGGGTGTCAACAACGTCCGAGTGATCCAGCATTAGTAATGGCAGGGTGTGGTAGCATTCGTCGGCATTGGATGTTTGGATTTTGTATGTATGTATGTTGAACTTCTTTCACAACGTACGTAGCCAACCGTGTAAATCGGATGTGCAGGGGATGGACAACAAACTAACACAAAAAACTGTTCTAAATAAATAGACGGTCCCAGAAGCACATCTGAAAGCACACGATGCGGTGACCCTCTGCATTCGATTGCAAAGCCAAAAGCAGCTGCGAGGTTGACCAGAGTTCACGTGATGGTTTCTAGTAACGTTAGACCGGTGGCTTATGAAAAGTAACTTTGACCCATAGTTGCGTTTGGCCACGTAAATGTTCGTTCATTTTTTAACGTGCCAATTCCTATCATTTCAGCACACCGGGGCGAGTTTTTTTTAGGAACAACCAACTCTAGCAGAAGTGGCCTTGCTTATGGCACTGGGTCCAGCAGAGGGCAGGCAGGTCACAGCGTTTCACCGGTGGTGTTGATCATGGCACGCTGGGACGCCGCCGAGATGGTGCTGGCGAATCCAGAAGCGGCGCTGCCCGGAGCCCCCTCCACCAGCAGCTCCCCGGTGGTGGACACGAGCCCCCCAGAGCTGCCCTTCTTGGCTGGGACCACAACACTCCTGTGCAGATACGCACGTGCATAAACGCGTGAAAGCAAAGTACAGTAAAACCTTGGATTGCGAGTAACTTGGTCTGCAAGTGTTTTGCAAGACGAGCACATTTTTTAAATAAATATTAATTTGATAAACGAGCGAGGTCTTGCAATACGAGTAGTACGTATACGCTTTGTCTGCCGAGCATCACGTGATCACAACTGATATACGAGTGCTTTGATATACGAGTGCTTTGGATTACAAACACATTTCCGGAACGAATTATGCTCGCAATCCAAGGTTTTACTGTAAAATTAATAGAACTCAACACGTTTACAGTGTGACCTTAAAAGGGAAAAAAATATTACATAAAAGGCAATCTTTTGAGCAATGGCCTTCCTTCATGGGCATGGAAGGACCAATACCCAAAATGTCACCATAATTATATTTTTAAGGCCACAGCGTTGTTGATGAATGTGTTGAATTTTAGTTTATTGTGCTTGTGCACCATTGCCTATGCAGTATCACGAAAAAAAATACCTAGTTTTGAGGAACAAGTTTAGATGAACTTATCCAGTTAGTTAACATTCATGATTACAAAGAGGGCTCTCCATTTAATTGCTATTATATAAGCTCATTTACGTGACAATCAAACACACTACGGATGCATATTGTGCAACAAAAATATCTGTGCAAACTAAAAACAAGCACAACCTAGGTGTCTCCACACCCACGACTGGGATCCTGAATTTGTAGTTTCGATCGTAAAGAGGATATATGAGGCTGGCGTCAAGAAGAGGGCCGCCTGTGACGGCGGGCCATGCGGCGTTGGCGCGCACACCTGTCGAACGAGTGGAACTGCATGGGCAGCATGAAGCGCGGCTCCACCACCTCGCTGCTGGGCGCCGGCTCCGCGGGTCCCACCGGCTCCCCGGTGGGCGCCGCCACCAGGCTGCGCAGGATGTCCTTCACGCTGACGCCCTTCCCCTGCGGAGGGCCGCCCGCCGGCATCCCGCCGCCCGGCGCCGCGCCCGTGCCGACGGTCGCCTGCGGCGCGGCGATGGCGGCCGGCTGCGCGGGCCCCCGGGCGCCGTGCTGGGAGCCGGGGGCGCACGCGGGGCCGCTGCCCGTGCCGTTGCTGGTGGCCTCGTCGGCGCAGGGCGCGGGGGGCGGCCGTCTCACCTCCCCCGAGAGGCTGCACAGCAGCTGGCCGACGGCCGCGTCGGAGGCGGCCGACGCGGCCGCCGCGCCGCCGGCCGTCGCCACGGCGCCGTCGCCGCCGTTCCCTCCGCCGCCGTTGCCACCGCCGTTGTTGTTGTTGTTGCCGGAGTCCGGCTGCTCGGGGGAGGTGAGCAGGCTGGGCGCGCCGCCCGGTTGATCGTCGCCGATGCCCGAGTCCGTGCGGGGAATGCACAGCTCCGGCCGGGACTCGGCGGCGGGGGACGTGACGTCCCTGCCGCCTCCGCTGCTGCTGCTGCCCGTGACCTCTCGCAGGGCACCGGCATCTGGCAGAGTCGCGCGGACGTGCTGGGTCACGTTGACGCGCGTTTTAACTCGGACGCACGTAGTCACGCGGACATGCAAGTCCAGGTGTGAAGGGAGCTCAGTAGGACAGAAATTCATTTGTGAAAGGCCTAAACCCCCTTGGCTGTGGTGATGAAGCAAATGTGTTCGTGATTTCATCTGTGTCAACCCTTGAGTGTTATAATCTCATATAGTGTGGGTTTTCTCCCACACAGAGCAAAACACTTCGTAAATAGAAATTACCAAACATTACAATGGAACATCTGCCTCAGAAAAGCCTCTAGACTCAGGGAGACTATGCCGGATAAAGAGACTATATTATTTCTGCATGTTGACATACAAAGACAAGGGTCCCCTTATAGCTTATATACATGAGGTCACAAAAATGCACTCGCGACAATGGCACCAAGTTGGATTAAGCGCTGTTGGCATAAACATGCTCATGTCAGCACGACACAGATAGTAGATGTTGTGGCCAGCACCACTCCTAACAGTAGTCTCTCCTGCGTTGGAGATGATACCACATACGGCACTCATGTTAAGCACAGCTGACCTAGTTGAAGCCAATGCTTCAACTAGGTCAGCTGAAATATTAATGTTGTCCAGCATATCTGGGGGCATGTTTTAATTTAGGATTTTGAGGATTTGAGGGCCACGATGTTTACTCATTTCGGACAATAAATCACAGTTTTTAATGGCCACTTCACATCAGAACATGTACTTTGATAATGCACCACAAAGGTGGATTCAACTTATCAAAATCATACACTAGCTATGTGGCACGAGTACTAAATTACTAACCACCCTGCAGCATAACCACAATGCCTAAAATAAATATCCTCGTTTAAGTGAGTGTATGTTGAACTTCTTTCGCACCGTACGTAGCCAACCGTGCTAATCGGATGTGCTCGTTCAAACGAGACGCCCTCACCCGGGCAAAACATCTTCGCGTGTGACGCTTTCTTTTGAGCGAGATGCCCTCAGTTCGCGTGAGTTGCCCTCGTGCGTGTGCGCGCACGAGACGAGATGCGCTTGCTTACATGGCGGAGCCACGGAGCGCGTGGGACGAGGACGCGGGGGGACCGGTACCTGCGCTGGAGGGGGAGTTGAGGTCGGGTCGCGTGCCCTTGCTGCGCTGGCTGTCACGTCGGCCCATCTCGCGCTGCGGCTCCAGGATGTCACGGTACTTGGACACCATGAGCACAGAGATGAAGTAGACAACAGCCAGCGCCAGGAACTGGGCCTGCTTGCTGTCCTCCTGCAAGCGTCGCAACAAGAAGCAGAGGGCACGTTCGCCACTTGCAGCTCGCGAGAGCGCGGCACGTTGAGCGAAGACCGCGCCCCTTGGCTGGGATGGCATCACCCTGGAGCCAGACCGAGTCAAGTGGCCTTCCGTTCTGGCCCGCCTCGAACTCAACAACGTCCACCCCATTGTATTCCACTGCTCCCCACGGCCGAGTGTCTCATCCCAGGAAGGGTCAGTTTCACTAGATGCAACATCTTGGACAATCTGAATAACGTTTTTTTCATTATTATTCCACGAAGGAAAGTGATGCCACTCATACGATGTCACATTCCTCTGTTTTCCCACCAACAGTGGTGTTACATGGCATTGAGTAATGTCCACACACACACATATATAGAACATAATGAGCATGATGCAAAAGTATGAATGTGATTTATTTCGAACAAGCCGAAATCAGAATGTTTTTTTTTTAATCCGACAAACACATCCGTACTATTGTACTGCATCAGAACTCTTCAGAAGACTGCTCTTCAGGTAAGCAAGCACATATCCACGCCCCCGCCACTAGGTGGCACTCAACACTGACGAATCTGCATCTTCACAACTTGCAAGATGCGGATGGTGGCGCTTTAATTCGATAACATATAACACGTTTTATTACACGTCTATGTCACTGCAGACGCAACCCCCTTGTATCATTAGTTGTGTATGATTACAGAAACGTCCAACAGTATATCTTCTAGATCGGGAAGGGGCATTATGGCATGAGATGGAAAATATCATTCAATACAACATGCCACGCCTGTAAAAATGCAGTGATGCTGCGTGTGCATGTAACGAGTGCCTGGAGAGAGATATTAACACTGGCAGTGCATGCGGTCACGTAGCACAAGCTTGCATCACGACCAGTATACCAGCTGCGTACCATAAATGCAAGGTCAAAGAGTTGTACGTAATGATCCATTGTTGGGTTGCCACCTGTCTGGCGTTGACCCTCAAAGTTCCGGAATTGGCAAATAAAGTGTTCGGGTGGCAGGAATTCATTTGAACCGCGATATTAAACTGTATTACATTGTGTGCGTTGTATGCATGCATGGGGGTAAACATTAAACATAAAAAAGCATTCCTAAAGAAATGAGTTCAATGTGTAGCACCACTGCACAATTTTTTTTTTTATAATAGACCTAAGCTGACCGAGGAATATGTTCTGGGTTTGCGCTTTGAAAAAGGTGAGTAACCACATTGGAATGCGCCGTGTGGCTTTAATGTTCACTCGTGCCAATTGGTACCGGTCATGAATAAAATTGAACCGGATTCGTTAACAATCAATTCCGTGACTTTGGGATTGATAATGAACTCTGAAAGCGATTATAGATGTATTGATGAACCAGTGCATAACGCAAAAATAATCAGTTCTGTAAACCTGATGGGCGTTACAATTATTACACGAGCATTTTTGGGGCTAGCTCTTATCCTCTCTGGAGACTTGGTCTATGCCCGGTAGCCCAAACGGTCAGTCCACTCCCGCTATGAAGTTTACAAAGTATGTTTTAACATTTTTGGGTTTGATATATGTAAAAAAACACTACTTATATTATGAATATCTTCTCCATGGAATGTTTGTACTTTCCATGTATAATTACAAACACCGGTATATTGCCATTCATTCTCCATGGAATGTTTGGACTTTTCCGTGTAAAATTACAAATACTGGTATGTTGCCATTCATTCTCCCAAAAGGTGACATTCTCAAACCCAATTATTCAACGTGGCATATGCAGAGTTTTCATACAGCATCTTGTCACCAGAAGACATGGCATTTTTTTGTACAATTCAACAAGTTCCTCCTCGTGCTTGAAACCTGCAATACTGTACAGGTCAGAACCCTCATTTCCATACAAACAGTGCTAGAAATGGGCCGACATATGGCACTTGGCCGAACACCAAATGCGTACACCGGCACTTTTCAGAACGACGACTCCTCCTACTCTACCACGATGCTTCCACAGGGGAGAAAAACCGGCGGTGAACTCAGTTTGCACCATGAATACGTTTCACACAAAGACTTATGCATTTATATTCCAACCACTGTATACAAACAGCCTCACAAAATATCAGTCTACAGCAGTTCATCAGCGTGCAGTCAAAGCTTCTCTGTAGACCAGAACAAATCTGCACGGGGACTCAAATAATTTAATGCAATTCCCCCCTGATATTTATTCCCTGCATTCACTGACTAAATTACATTTGCTTTGTAGCTGCTGCCGAATACAACAAAAAAGTGTCCAGATTAATTTAAATACGAATACTATTGCCAACTTAATTAACCTTCCAAAAAAAAAATACTTTTACATGGCAGCTCCAGTCGCTGCTCACGTTGTTAATTGTTTCAGGCTTTCGCTAAAGTAAAATAATGCAAAAGATAATTGACTCATGAGAGCGCACTTTCTTAACTACTCTCCAATGAATTCCCCTCATGCTACTCTCACTGAACACTGGCAACGCATCTGAAAATTAACCTGGGTGGCACTGTGTAGCTTGAGAGCTCGATTTGCAATTGAAAGGGTGAGATTTTTAATCCCAGCCAATAATTTGCTTGGCCGAGTGGATTTTTCTCCAGGTCCTCTGGTTTTCCTCACCACATTTTAGAATCAACATGTGTTTAGAGTATTTGGCTGCTATACATTTCCACGTGATAAGCCACTTCGTTGAGCTAGCATTTGTGGCCCAGGACGCTTCTAAAAAAATTGCTATACAGCTCAGTGGGCATTACCTCATAAATAAAAATAGTTTAAATTTTAAGTGATATTTTTTTGTGAATCAAGTGGTTATTTGAATGGTTAGTGAAAGATGCTGATGGTTTGGGGAGGCCTTCATCCATCAATGGATAGATCATGCCTGACGAGGAATTATAACTGCAAAAGGTTTTATGAAGCTATATTTCTACACACGCAATACATTTTTTTACATTTTTTAATTAACAAAAACAACTTGTCGTGAGGAGCTAGCCATCTGCAGTTCAACAAAATCATACTTCGTGATGCACATGTGGTCATCAATACTGGTCCCAAGTGGCCTTAACATCTCAAACACTCCGCAGCACAGCCACGATACAGAGTTTCCCTGCTGAAAGACAATAACATCGCTGAATAGTGCACTAGAGGTGTGAGGATTGTTGCCGCAATGATGAGATATCAACTACCTCGCCTGCTATACAGGAGGTCGTGGGTTCGATCCTGACCCTGACACACCTTTATTCTTGTAGTTTGCATGTTATCCCCATGGTTGCATGGATTTGTCTCCGGGTCCTATGGTTTTCCCCTCCACATTCATAAACATGCGTTTTTAGAGTGTTTGACTGCTATACATATCCACATGATAAGCCATTTTGTTGACCTATCATTTGTGATAGGTCAGCCTTACCTGGTAAAACAATAAATAGTTTGTTGAATAGTATATAGTTTTTTTACATCTAACCATAATAATCATAATGATAATATCACCTTTTAACTCACAGAGTATTCGCTTATTCTCAAAGAACTTGGAGGCGCAAGAAACCACAGACTAGCGGGAAGGCAGCCAGGTGGTGAGTCTTCATCAACAATTACCTAAGATCTGTGGTTCTCTACATATTAAGATGCTTTCAGCCAATTAATGACCTTTTATGCATGTGGGCGGGAACTGGAGCACATTCAGAAAGCCCGCGCATGCATGGGGACAGGGCTCTATCCCATCTGATGGAATGGGTGGGAACGGCAACTCGACGCCCACAGGGAGTGGAGTTTCACAGCATTTTTGCGATCCACCAACCCTAATTGCCTCCACAGTGTTGGATTACAGGCAAGTGCCACCACCGACATAAACTCTTTGGTTCTTTCAGTAAAGTCACGTAGATAGAAAATAAATAGATCACGACGTTTCGATCGCAACACAAGCGTGACTCCATATCCTGGATTATATAGAAAATCTGATTTTGAACGCAACTCATCCGACCTACAGTTCCATGGAATCAATCAGAATCAGTCACTCAATCCTGCCCAGTATAGTTCGGATCATATTTTACAAAGAGTAAAAGATTTGCTATATTACATTATATATCTAAGTGAATGCTACATTGCTACACTCTGAAGCCAATATGAATGATCAAAGTACAAATTCTTAATCTAATAAATACATATAAAACAATACTAAAGCTTATTGTATAACATACTGTACATAACGCATAACAAAAAAAATATGTATAAAACGTCATGTGATCAATCAATTTTCATTGTAGCCAGAACCAACATTTCACATATCACTTTAACACGTAGGTCACACGTGTCGGGGATGGTGCAATTTCCGCTTGTGACCCGATATGACGGGACATCCCGACTGAATACTGAGTGTCAAGTTGTCCAATTTGGGGTCTAAACACTGAGCGTGATGCCTGTCTTCATGACACCCCCCTACCCTCCCATCACCGCACATCCAACAACCCCTCTGCTGAAAACGGCTCCATAGCCGTAGAGAAAAAAAATTAAACCTATTGCTATCTCACACCGACTTTGAAGTTCAGTTGATCGCATTGCAGCACAGCCGTCAGTCTATCCGGCAGAACAGCATTTTGGATCACAAAGGTGGCGTGCAGAATTTTGGGTGAGCAGCAAGCGGCGGCAATCTGCTCCGAGTTAGTTGACTGACTGCTTCCCAATGTTCCAAGGCCTTTAGGGCTTCGGTGTCCCATTACCCACATCCATAAATCCAATGGGGCCAGCCTGTCAACATTACTTTTTTATAGGCCGCTCTCCTGCTAGAGCTGCAAATTAAAATTTAACGACAACTTTTATGCAAAACTGCATAAAATTTCTTTTTTTATCGTTTGTTTTACTTTGCAGACAGTAAGAGTGAAGTTTGAAAAAAAACTATTCATAAAACTGAATGATAAACTATGAATGATTTAGCATTGTTGAGCAGCAAAAGGGTGCTATATAGAATAGAATTAAAACACTATTTATGGACATGCAAAGTCAATCAAAATTTGAAAGGATGAGTGGCTTTATAAAGAATGGGCAATCAGCACTGCGTAGATTATCACTAGTTCCAGGAATTATGTTAGCCTTTGAAGAAAACTTAATTACACCGTACTGTTGACATTTCTTATAGATGACAGTTAAATTTAATTCCATATTGCCCTAATCATAATTTGTATCTATATTACAAGTGGAAGTTGTATTTAGACCGCGGATTATCGAGAAATCTGCATCATATATTATGGCCTACTCCTACAATATATGCAGTTTACAGGTGCTGCGAATTATAACTGTTTATTAATGTATATTCTTGGTTCTTTCGGTAAAGCCATGTAGAAGGGAAACAATAAAATAAAAAAATATAAAACAATACAATTCTCACCAAGTTTCGACTGCAACACAAGCAAACATCATCAGGTGTGAAAACCACAGCTAGAAAATGTGTTTATTAATGTTTATAAAATTACGTCTCTTAAACGATAAGTTAAATTAAATGTCAAAAGTGTCTTCCCAATCACAGACAGCCTGATGCGAGTGGTAAACTGCCAAATAAGGGAAAGTCCAGGAGAGTTAATCCAGTAATTAAGTCTTACAGCCCCTTGTTAATCCACTGGATGAAGGCCTCTCCACACCGTGTCGTCATGCGGGTTGTTTGACCATACTTCACCACACTGATGATGGTGGGTCGGTGAAGTGGGGAAGCCAGGATTGCTTCGGACACGTGATCCTTATGGCGATACCCCGGGGTACCAAATAATACAAAATGGCCGAGGCAATTAAATATTTTATTTCTGGGACACTATTTTTTCCAGGGGTGTTACTTAACTCCGTGACTGGGGTACCAATCAATCCGAAATCGGTGCAACTCCGCGATGTTGAAACGCAGCGAGGACGATTGCGCTGAAACCCTGAACCAGTTGATCAGGTGGCATCTTGGTGATTGGGAATCCCAGGCCATTATCTGCCTTTCTCAGGGCTCTCGATGAGATCGAGGACTTCAAAAAGACTTTCGAATCCAACTTTGAAAAATTCCACTTTGAGTAATGCATCGTGTACAGCTCGTCGAGACGAGTCGATTGCCGCATCGCCGGCCATTAACAGAATAAAAATGACTGCATCACGGACATTATGCGAGAGCCGGGGTACTATGGTACCCCGGGGTACCGCCATAAGGTCCATGACTCCTGGCCACTTGTGTTAGCCACGGCCAGGAATATAAATCAGGTCATCGGGTTCACAGCGTGATGCGCTAACAACCGCTGTGCCGCCGTGCCACCTCGAGTGAATCAATAATAATTATTATTTATTGAGAACCAACTATATTCCACTAAAGCTAGTTGAATTATGGGAGTATGAATTTTGTCGGGCAAAGACACTGATTAGACCCGTGACTATGAAAAGTCCCTTGTAATATTGTCTCTAGAAAGTCAAAAGCTGAATGCTGAGAAACGTATAAAGTGACCAATATAACCCATAGTCCTAATACAGCACTGCTGTGTTGGACTAGCTGTAAAAACAGAGACCAAGCCATGTAAGTTGGCTGTGTAATCAAACTATAACGGCGGCAGTAAGTGGCTGAACACTGTTTGACGTCATAAGTTTGTAGATTTGTCTTACAGACCTCTGTATTTTTTTTTAATTAACACTAGCAAAGAACATATGAGAGCCTGCCTTGAGAAGTGAAATGTGCCTCATCGTGTTTTCAAGTGTCTGGATTGTTTGGTTGTTTGATGCTCATCCATTAAGCACGTGATCATATACGGTGATGAATATCAAAGTGCCTCCCTGCTCAAAATATAATTGAGGCCGTTCTATTAAATAATTGAAATTAGTTTTTTTTTCCAGGTAAGGCCCAGTGAGCTATGTAGCTCTTTTTCAGAAGCGACCTGGCCACAAATGATAGCTCAACGAAGTGGCTCATCATGTGGAAATGTATTGCAGCCAGATACTCGTATCGCATGTTTCTAAATGTGAAGGGAAAAACCGGAGGACCCGGAGCAAAATATACGAGACCAAGGGGAGAACACGTAAATTCCAAATATACAGCAGGCGTCAGGGTCGGGATCGAACCCACGACCTCCTGTATACCTGGCGAGGTAGTTAACGGGAGATGGTCCCTGGTTGGCATGACTTGTGTTAATTGCACAAAGACAAGTAATTTGCAAACAGTGAAAACTTCAACTCTGGAAAAGCCGAGTGCTTTTTTAACATCAGTGTTCATAAATTATTTAGTTACAAGATTTAGTTATTGAGATAAACGATAAAAAAATTAACCACACCACATTAATAAACACACTGTGTCCATTGTGCCCCATTTCTAGAATGCTATGGGTAGTAGAGTATCCAGTGTGTACTGTATGTTGAACTTCCTTTGCATCGTACACAGCCAACCGTGCTAATCGGAGATTGCGGGTGAAGGACAACAACTAAACACGCAAAGACGGTTCTAAACAAGTCAGTTTTCACTCGAGATTATTTCAAATCGCATCGCTCTACAGTGGCTTCCTAACATTGGAAGGAAGCGCGTTCCAGACGGCTGCAAAAGCGCTCTGGGCCGAGAAAATTTAACATAATTTGTCATTCTTTCTGTCGCGGATTGATTTTATCCTGTTGCAGCGCATATCTAAAAGCGCGCGGTGGTGCAGTTACCGGTAAGGCGACGTGGTACAGTTCGCAGTAAGGCTGCGATGTTGTAGACACTGAGGCCTGACAGCTGGCGAGGGGGGCTCTGTTGTAGTGAGAATGAATGCATTTTATATAGAATTACGTTCCCTAATTATGTTGGCAAACGTTATGATGAACGTAAATAGGAGCAGCGTAAAACAGAGGACATGTTGGTGGTGTATATGTCATAAGTGTGTACGTGTTCATGTAAAATGTGTTTTTTTATGCTAACCCTTAATGAGTTTCAAGTTAAAAACTAAAACGTATTCTTCACAAAGGGACTTCAAATACAAATACACTATTGGTTAATTAATTATGATGTGAGAATGTTGATTCAAAATTTGTATAACATAAATCCTTTTTGCATCAAAGATGATTCCCAGTTTGCATTGACTTACCAATTACTATATTGACGAAGCAACTGGTGAATACACTACAGATAATGATATATTAAATATATATAAGACATAACAGCATTCTAACCAGGGCAGTCCGTTGACAATGGCACCCAATACAAATGGGATCAGAGGGACACTTAATCTTAGTCCACTCTTCCCCTCTTTATCATCATTATTATTATTTACATTCCACAAATAGCACATTAGCGTTCGGACAAGAAGGATTGGTTCCCATTCGATCAGAGTGGCGCGTTTCGGCTGCGCAGAACGTGCCAAGCCCGGGGGCCGCATATTGAGAAGCACAATCTGTGCCGATCCTGGGCGTAGTAATGCTACGATGGGGTAATCGAAAAGTCTGTGGCCTGAGTAAGAAAGCTCGACTGGCCTTGATGAAACCGTTGATACTTTTATAGCCAGTTTCCTTGAAGCCGAATGCTCTCCCCCTGTCCCTCTGTTTCAAGGCTTCAATCCCCGTTTGAAAAAGAAAAAAAAAACTGAAACTATTCACAGCACGAGTAACTTTATTGTCGATATAAAAATGATTTCCCCACAAGCGATTGTTCAAAGTGGAAAATTCCAGATAACGCTTAAGTTTTTCAGATGTCTCCATTTTGCAGTCAACACACACACATGCACGGTGATTCATGTACATGTTAAATAAAAGAGAGTTCATAAACTGCTTTGAAAATTCCATAATATTTCCAAGTAAAGCATTTTCGGTGGCCGGGTGGCCGAGTGGCTCAAAGGTCAAAGCGCCAAGCAGGTATCAAATGCTCATATCCCGGGCTCAAATCTGGACAGCCATCTATGATTAAACCGGGTTCTTAACTGTGTAGTAAGTTGGTTATCTAAGCTTGGTCACAACTGACTGCACAGACAAAAACTACCATTATGCTAAATTTGGGTTTGCACTTAAGTACGCTAAAATCTAGCTCTAGGAATTAATATTCGTTTTATTGTCACATGGCAAACAATCACATGGCAGATGAGAAGTGCTGCCCCCGAGTGATAAGGAGTCACACGAAGATTTTTCAGAAGCAGTTCTGTGATATCTCCTTCTGCAGTTTGTTCTCTGTTATGGGGGGGGGGGGGGGGGGGGTGATACATTGCTCCGAATGGATTCTTCATCTGAAGACGTGCCACAGACGAAACGAACTGGGAACAATACACCTATGACCGACATCTACCTTTGTTGTTTTGTCCAACTACATTCTCCACCTCGCTCGCCAGCCCATTTCAATGCCTGGCTACATACTGTACTTTCCAATCACACTCGGCTTGCGCTGGCCTGCCACATGCCGCGCCAAACGGAGAGTGCCTCTCGCTGTGTTGCCGTGTGTGCCGCCCGCCGCACGCTGCCCTACCACATCACGGAAGACGACGGCACGCAGACGGCCAATGTCCACATCCTGCAGCAATCGGTCCGTGTCCTTCACCGGGGAGATGCAGCTGCTCTCCACCGGGCTCTGCACAACGACACGACGAGTCACGGCGCACAGCGGCGCAACGCCGATGTCACTTGGCCAGCGGCACTCCCTGCCATCTCCCCGCCGTCTCCCCGCCCCTGTTCTGGTCCGGGCTTACGTACGCGTGTATGCATGTTGAACTTCTTTCGCACCTTACGTAGCCAACCGTGGTAATCGGAGGTGCGGGGTAAGGACAAACAAGCTAAACACAAAAAAACATTTCTACAGAATGAGTTTTCAATCTAGATTTCAAAGTGCATAGCTCCAGTGGCTTCCTAATATCGGGGCGCATCTGAAAGCGAGCAAAGAGTGACCGCATTTGTTCGATGGCTAGCCAAAAGCCGCTGCGAGGATTACATCTTTCCTCTTCTCCTAGAAATGACTGTCTCTTAACACTTTCCCAGCCAATATTATGATTCATAATAGATTTGTTTTGGTTAGGCCACAAGTAATGATCTGGCAGAATTTGTGTGGTCATCAGTTTGTGTAGTCAAGATTGGCTACGTACGGTGCAAAATAAATTCAATATATAAACGTACATCACACCAATTTAAAAAAGTCGTGTAAGATGACATGGTAATTCTATTTCCTGGGATTTCCTGAATATACCCGACAGTTTGAAGAGAGACGTCGTAACCAATTGTTAAATGTGGTTGAGAGAATTGTTCTTAAACTTACTGGCGAGCTGAAACCATAATAATTGGCACATTAAGCGCTCGTACGTGGAAAAAAATCTATTTGCTTGACTGCACCGGGAGTCTGCCTCTTTTTGTTCTCGCTTTGTGTAGAAACTCGTAAGTCAATGTCCATGACTGATAGCCAAATCACGGCCTCGGGGCGAGCTCAATGGATGCCTTCAATGCATCCGCTGCATTTCGAAGGTTCACATTGCTTCCGTTTGTCTCAAGGAAGGGTCGTCATTCTCCCCCGACATGCTGCTGCTGTTGTCTCTGGCACTGTCGCCTTCTACACCTGATACTTCCCCACTGAATGCAGCCACGAGAGAATGTCCTTCCTCTTTCCCCCCCCCCCCCCCCCAGTATTTACAAGATATTCACGCGCACATTTTGTTGCACAGCGTAGGGATGCAACGTCATTTAAACATTCGATGAACTCAAATGGTGCGGCACGATGCAATCCCACATGGCAAAAACATCACGGGAGGCACTGGGGAAGAGCATCACACAATTATGATTAAACGTGAAGATGTATTAATTTATTTACAGACTACACAAAGCCTTTTGGTTGCACTATTATGTAAATATGCCGGTATCTAAATAATGTCTGTTTTTTTTGTTTTACAGGTCAGTGGACTCTGAGAAATTAACTCAAAAGAAGCATTGGTGTGTTCGAGAGGTAAGCAACTTGGGAATTCAGAATACAAGTTGGCGAGTAAGTTCGTGGACATAACCCGGAAAATAAGGGTTGTGATGGGGAGAACAGAGGATGGCTTGTTACAAAGGCAGCCACAGGAATTGCACTTAAGTGGTCACCAATTAATACAGCCAAATGTGGTGATTTCACTTGCAGAGCAGAGTATCCACGGAGGTTGAAGTTAAACTGTACAAAGACACGGACTCCTTGAGAAGGGAATGAGCAAGAGGTATGGTGGCACCGATGACCTATTCCTCTTGATCTCGATCATGCAGCGTCGTTTGAAGATGAAATGTTATAACTGCTTCATTCACATCATTAGTAGGTAAGAACAATTCCAATGCCCTGCTGCGGTCTAGTCAATGGGAACGTCAGTGTCAGCAGTTCCCGTGTGGCAGCACAAGATCTACCTGCAAATGGGTATTAGTCTGCCAGTACGGGGCTGTCCTCATAATTTGCGAGTAACCAATCAAACTTGGACCGTGACACCAGCACACGTGGTCCTCTCCTCTCTTTAGAATGTCACGAGTTTCTTGAACTCCCACCGCGAAGCGAACGGCACTAATGCATGCGCAGTATTAATAAGGGCGGGCCGCTGGGTTCTCGAACCGCGACCCCTCTCGCAACGAACGGGCGGGCGAACTCGGCCACGTCGCCGCCCCTGGCAGAGGCGTGGCCCGTGAGCCGTGTTGCGGTACCTTGAGCGAGCTCTGGGCCATGCCCACGAGGCTGTGCACCGTCTCCTGCGACTTGGTCCGGGTGAGGCCGCCGCGACCTCGCTGCCGCGACCGGCAGTCCAGGCAGTTCCGCACGGCCACGCAGCAAACTGGGCGCACGATGATACCAACACGCACGCGAACACGAAGATCCCCCGTGTAGCCTTAACAGACGGTTGGGACAAGCGCTGTTGGCGAGAAGCACCTATGAAGGTGGGCACACCAGGTACTCATTTAAGGCTGAATCGACCGAGGGGAGGGCCCAGGACCGGTTCTCATAATCGTTACCGTTGTTGGCTGTGAGAAGAAATCGTACCCGGGTTTTTGGGTTCATAGGACAGCTCGCTGACCACTACACTACTGCTCCCACACACACACCAGATAAAGACCCCCCATATATCCTTAACAGACTGTTGGGAAAAGTGCTGTTAGCGAGCACCTATTAAGGCCGGCAAGGCATACGAGGAGGTGGGTGGCCAGCACCATGCCCGGCCACCTTTGTCTCGCCAGTGGCGATGTAATTGTCCACAGGTTTTAAAAATTACACCATCGAATTGCAAGTGGATATTCATTTTTAAATAAAGGACACCAACCAGAATCCCCATTTATATACAACAGCATCCACATTAAAACATTTATATCCCATAGAAGGTAGCTTCCAGGTAATTGCTAATAGATTTCAAGCGTTATATATGGTGCTGACACGTAGTTCCAGGTTACGTGTTTATTACAGGATGAAATATGATTTTCCACTGCGAAAGGAGTTGCCAATATTCTCTGTGGGCTTCGTAAATCAACACACCGACCCTGACCTCCTCCATCTCCGTCAACCTTCAATGGCTGTCCCCATGTGCTAAAGTTTAGCAATGGGCAACGCAATACTGTGGAGGTGTGGGTCAACTCATAACACGCAAAGGGCCTTCACCACTGCATCCACGGAAACCGAGCAACAGTGTCCACGCTCGGCCGAGCGTTGAGACTCTGCTGCTCATCTATGCTGTGCGAGAAGGAACGAGTGATTGTGAAAAGGTGTTTACGTTGCTATGTAAATTGCAACATTTGAAGGAAAAAAAAGTTAGTCCTCTGATCAAACGTGCTCGGCTCAACAAACGGGAAACTACGAGTTCAAACCCCAATAGGGAGTTCAACTTAGCCCATCATCCCTTTTAGGGACAATAAAATGAATAGAGGTGTTAGTCCTATGGAGTTACTGGTCCCCACCAGTGAAACTTGAGATGTTCAACACTCACTTAGTACTGGCGCCAAGGAAGCGCAACATTACCAAAACCTACGAGAGCACGCAGACGTATCGCCATACACGTGTAGAAGTTTGTGCCGCGCTCTGTGGAATTCCACAAAGAGAAGGGGATTCTGCAAATGTCATTGTACCACATCCATGTCCAGGCTTTTGGCCCAAATTGTCAGGGTGGACTAGAAGGCATCCCATCCCGCAGCCAAGCAGCAACAGCAGAGGAAGGACCGCCGAGGGGAATCGGGGCATCGCGGCTGCTATTGGCAACCCTCGCTCCACCGGTGGACTGAGCCAATCAATCGGGCTCCGTCCGTCGCGCACACACAAACACACAAACGGTGGGGGAGAGAAGACGCGGGTGTTGCGTGATGGGTGTGACACGGGTGTGGGAGGGCGCCTCTCACTGAGCCGCAGACATTGACGCAGGAGCCCCCCGGAGGACATGTTCTTCTCGGCCTCGATCTCGCTGAAGTTCAGCGAGGAGGCGAGCACCAGCACGTCCACCATGGCCATAAGGCGCTGCAGGAAGCCCACGGCCGTCTCCACCGACATGCCCTGCGTCGGCTCCATGCTCTCCACCTCGCCCTGTGCACAGGCCGTGCGCAAACACACAAGAGATTAAATCTATCTTCCCTCCATCCATCTCTCTCTCAAAAAATTCCTCCATCTATCCCTTCAGCCCTCCATCCATTCCTCTCTACATTACTTTCCCAATCCATTCCTCCTGCCCTCCATCCAACCATCCCTCCATCCATTCCCCCATCCCATCCGTGTATTATTCCATCCCTCTATAATTGCATGTCTTTCTCCATCCATCCTTGCATCTCATCTTCAAGCCAGTCATCCATCCCACCCGCCATCTTTCCCACCATCCCCCCCCCCCCCAACGCTCAGATGGTTTGGCTACGCAGGGGATTAAAATGCCGGGTCAACGCATAAAACTAGCCCCACTGCAATGCCAGGTTTCAATCGGAGCACGTGCACGGGATTATGTCGAGCATTCAAGTGTAGTGAGTGACGTTCACAGCCCAGTCGCCGATGACCACACAAACAAATGTATCGTAGTAAAACCGATGTATCCCTTAAATTGGCACATGTCAGCTCTGAGGATTATGAAGTCGCATTTGAGCCACTGATATTCAAGGAACACTCTTTCCAGGACATACAGAATAGGCCGCCCCACATGTTGTGGAAAGGAGGCATAGTTCTTTCACATTCTCCCGAGGTCGTTTTCTAAAGCGGCATGGAGCACTGATAGCTGCCAGTGTTTGGAACGGAAAAAAAATGTTTAGTCTCGTGAGATCACACGCAGGGCACGACAGAAACATAACTGGGATGGAAAATAAAGCAGGAGAGAAAAGTTCCAACTCCGAACGACGCCCGAGATTTGATTAGGTCAAGCTTCAAGGCAGCGGCAGCCATACTCGGACGCAATTACTTTTTTACTCACTGCTCACCAACGGAGGCCCTTTTTATTTTACAGCCCCAGGGAGTGTGTTTATGATTTCGGGATAACGCTGTAATGGGAAGACGGTGCTTACTTCAGCGCAGAATTCAAACAGATGCCATTCCCTCTGATGCAATGTAGTAAATCCTTGTCATATTCAAAAAAAAAATCGTATTTGTTTTTAGACTGCCATATAGGCCAGGCCTTTTGCAAAGGACACAACAGCTATCTGCACAATGATTTGGTTCAAGCAAGATGACGATGATGATAAAGTTGCCACGGCAACGCACATTTAGCTGCTAGGACCTCTGATTAACATACATTAACAAATCAAAGTGGTTTCCTGCTCCAAGGAGCATGGGATGGTGTTCATCGCCTGTTCACAGTCCCCAGCCACAGGACAACGTATGTCATCAATGCATTATTCATTTTATGGAATGAGAAATGGCTTCTCAGCAGCCTTCAGGATATGTTGAGCAATATATTTTTTTACGTGGGGGGGGGGGGGGGGGGAAACACTAAACAGTTGCAACAAGGATAAGGCTCAAAGCACAGAGGTGTACACCACACCAACACTACAGATTTTGCAGCTATAGAATGAACATACAAATAATCATGGTGCTGTGAGGAAAAAGATCTGCATAACCAACGTCTTACATGACCACCATTCGCTTTTTAAATGTGCTTTAAGTAACCACCTTTCGCTTGCATCCCATTCTACTGTATGAAAAATATGCTTAGCTTGTATTTTCTTATTCAATAACACTATATTAAAACCCTAATGTTAGGGATACATCATTGCAATATATAAAACACACAATAGAATGTTACGGATACTGATTTAATACATCTCAACATGAGATCTTCTATTATCCTCTTTTATGAAAAGCCTTATTAAATTGAGTATCGATGGATTGGTGATATTAAATTACACAGATATGCTGATCTCTGCCTTGCAGCTCCAACACCAAAGCTCACCACCTCTGCATTTCCAGCGCATATTTTAGCTGACGTCACACACAGACATCTCATTAAGCCGAGAGCAATTCCAGTGAACACGCGGCCAGATGGAGCTGTTGTGCTTAAGAGCATGCGTGTACGTATATTGAACGTCTTTTGAGCCGTACGTAGTCAACCATGCTAATCAACATCCCAGAGTCAACTCGGTCTTTCACTTCTCCACGGTCAATAAAGTGTGAATTCACGTGTAAAAGGTTATCGGTGGTAGCGTTATGGATAGGCTGGTCCCTGTCAAGGACTAATGGAATTTCCACAAATAACTCGGTGCCGCTGCCTTTGGAGGTACAAGCACACAACTCTTAATTTGAACAGAGGGAAAAATATTGACTTAAAGCTTTCGTGACTGCAGGAATTCCCATTCTTGGGGTCTTTCGGTAAAGTCACGTAGGTAGGTTCAATTTAATAAAAAATAAAATAAACAAAAAACTACGACGTTTAGATCACAACATAAACGACCGTCATCAGGAGGAAAACAAAAGGGGGGGGGGGGGGTGGGGCTCTTCTTTATTTTATTTTCATTAATTTGAACCTATCTACGTGATTTTACCGAAAGACCCACAGAATTTGAACAGAGGGGAGTTTGGCTTTCCGCTATGTCCAGTATCTTGTCGGTGATGCTATTTGGCACCATTGCATCGAATGGTGTGTGGTTCTATCTTGATAACAAGTTCAAGCGAACTTCACAGCAATGCTGCATCCTTACAAATGCGTTGCTTGCAATCATTCTTGGATGCGCAAGGTGAGTTTCTCCGCGGTGACATTGAAGCGACGTACTCATCATGATAATGCAATGGCAGAAGCAGTTAAGACTTAAGGAAGACATCCATCACCATTAAAGGGTCAACGGTTGATACCGAGTCGTTGACAATGCGTCTCGAGTGTGAAACTAGTGTCACACACACGTCAGGACATTTTCGGTAGAAACGGGATGAGAGGAGGAAGATGATGTTACTGATGAGAGCACTAAATGCGAGTTAATTGTTTGGCGGAGGAACAAGGGTAGAGCGAGTTCGTACGGCGTTTTCAAGTGGAATGTGAATGCTGCAGTTAAATTCACGGCATTGCAAACTTGTACAGCACAGACGTTCAGCCCCCGATCAAACTATGCAAGAGCGAAACTCCATTTCAAACCTGTAAATGACAACCATCAGAGCTTAAACATAACCAAGCTGGTATATCCAATGATAAGAATCATGCGCTGGTCACTAATTTACTCTCATCAACCATTTCTGGCCATAAATATGCAAATTCAATATCTTATACTTTAACCCAATTAACATTACATCGGTCAATTATTATCATAAGGGGCAAAAATGAAGCAGAAGAAGAAGAAAAATAATGATAATACGAAACAAAACTTGCCCTCGACTTGGAATCAAATCAGACTTGTCTGTATTGTAATCACGGCGTGGAATCTTCTGTGCCACACAGCCACGGTGATCGGAAGCTTTAATGCTCGCACCTCTGATTAGCATGGTTGGCTACGTACGGTGTGAAAGAAGTTCAACATGCATACACACAAGCGTCTCAATGCATCGTCCTGCTCTCAGACCGCCCTTAGCCTGGAATATTTGCATCCTGCACAGTAATGCAGAGGGTCGCAAGTGGCCACACAGGATGCGCCGTATAATTCAACCACGTTTAATACCTATTTCCCTTGGCCATTGTGCTATGCTAAATTGGTTGATTTATGAACCCATAGTAACGTCTCATACATCCTGGAATAAAACTATGATAATGAACATCTCCCAAAAAGCCACGCATTGATTGCCTGCGAAGATAGGTGCACGCACGACTGGATACGCATTTGTCATACGATGCTTCTGACTCTACAAAGCTGTGGGTATTATTTTAAAGCAGTGCTCAATCCCTGGATCCAATCCAAGTTTAATCACATATATATAAAATGCCTTATTACTACTGCACGGGCGGATAATGTTCTGTTAATTAATAACAATATTCTCTGGTGAACTCGACGCCCACGAACGCCTCACTTGGCCTCAATAAATGAAGGCTTAATATAAAAGAGCAACTGCAAAGAGCAAGCTTGTGTAAAGAATCTGGCTGGATGGAACTGCGGCTGGAAGCGCTTGACTGACAATAAGGAAGTTACGGGTTCAAATTTCGTTGAAGAGTCGACTCAGCCCCCATTGCGTTTTCTGGGTCACTAAACTCTGTAACACTTTGTGGCACATCTTATGAGGATCGTGGCCTCTGCTTCAGGAATGCAGAAACTAGATTGCCAGCCCAGGTCAAGCAACGAGTTGCACGCATTTTTAATTGAACTCTAGTATGTGCTGAGATACCCTACTTTGGCTTCACCAACATCAGGATACAATTGCACTGATGTATATATGCAAGTCTTCTGATCAGGTAAATAAAAGAAAATCGAGTAATCAGAGTAATCAATAATCAGGATCTAACAATTTTACAGAATAATGTATAAATAATAACCACGGAAAAAAGTCCACAATGTTAAATGATAGTTGTAAATCATTGGTTTATGAATGGAAATGAATTATTACGAATACAAATATGGGTACCTACAGTAAATGCTGAAAAAACACCGATACACTTGGACCTCGTTGGCTGTGCCAACCTTGCTCAACAACGCTTCACTTCAATTCTAAGAGAAAAAAGGTCGTACATTCCCGCTAGGCTGCCATGAGAGTATATCCAGAACACCACGGTTAACATGCCAACGTATTGTCAAAGACTGCGATGGGATGCGTGATTTCCACATCCCGGTGCTATACGAAAGAAAGCACCGTGATAAATCGTTATCATCATCGTTGAGGATATGATGAATCCACCGTTGGATGAAGGCCTCCCCAAGTAGTCGCCATCCTTCATGGTTCTATTTTACCAGGTAAGGCCGCACTCAGCTACATAGCTCTTTTCCAGAAGCGACCTGGCCACAAATGATAGCTCCACAAAGTTGCTTCAAGTGTGGACATTTACAGCAGCCAAACAATCTTGATTTGAAGTTTTCGTGACTACAGGAATCCATACTCTGGTTCTTTCGGTAAAGTCACGTAGGTATAAAATAAATTAAATCACGACGTTTCGATTGCTGCCTATCATATCTGCCGGGTACTAGTCTATTTTTCCGAGTTAA